AGACAGGACAGAGTAATAGAGAGAGAGAGAAAGAAGGTTGTCTCTGTGCGGCCAGAGAAAGTTAAGCCATTAAAAAGTTGGTGGCCCCTGAAAGCTAGTCGCTTTCGAGGCCCACCCCAAAAGCAGCTCGTTAGGTCCGCAAAGTCTGGCCAAGTAAATTGTTGGGATTTCTTGTTTCTATCATTATCATCCAATGTGGCTCTCTTTTTTTTAAAACGTAGTGGGATTGTGGTTATCTATACTTCAATTGGTTTTGACTGGTTTCCAACTGGTAATGTTTTTTCTGTCTTTTTACGATCTCTTTTCCAGTTATTCATCTACATTTTTTTTGTTTTGTTTTTTTCTTTTCCTTTGTTTTCATCATCATCTCAGTTTTCTTTTTTTTATTATTATCAAGTTTTCTTAGAAATTTTCTACTTCTTTTAATGTATTCTTTATCTTATACATTTTTGCTTCCCTTCTGTTTTTTTGTATTCTTCATTTTTTCCATGTTTTAGTTGTTTGTGGAGATATACTGATCGTGATCAATTGCCTCAAAATCCCAGTATAAATTTAAGATAAGTGCGAGGGGCTGATATACAGACACTGACGCGTACACTGTACATGTTCTCATACTTACCATCAAACACATAAAACAGTCAATGATCAGGAAAAGATAAGGAGGATTTTAGCCATAATCTTTAAAAAAAAAAAAAAAAGTTATACTAGAAAAATTTTTGGATTATTGGTCGATTTAGGCTATACAGTGCGTTGGATGGCGATGGTTCGTCGACTAAAGAAAGATACGTTTTTATGTGTCTTTCTTGGTTCTCTTTAGTGTTCGGTAGAAAGTTTGGTCCATCTGTGAGTTTGACTGTCTGATTGCCTTGTCTGTCTGGCGCTCTCCTCTGTCTCTCTGGCGCTGGTTGGCTGTCTCTATGGCGGGCTGCTGTTCGTCGGGCTGGGGTAATGACTGTGTGTCTGTATGGTGGCGTATCGGTCGATGTTGGTGTGTTCGTGGGTGCTGTCGGTGTGTGTGTGCTGTCTGTTTGTCTAGAGAGATGCTGTTATGTCTGGAGGCGCGGGGTCGGGCACGGTCGCTCCCCACCCCACTATGAGCGCGCCGCGCGCGCTAGAGCGCGAGTGTGAGACGAGCACGAGAGCGCGCATGCGCGCGAGAGAGAGAGAGCGACAGCGCGACGCTACGAGTCGAGAGAGAGAGAGCGCGAGAGCGCGCGCAGCGCGCGCAGCTCGCGCGCGCGTAGGGGGGGGTGGTGGGGTGCCAATGTGTGTGGGGCTCACTGCGGGTGTGGGTCTTGCGACCGTGGGTCGTTGGATGTAGCTGGGGTTGGGGGGGGGGGTGTGGTGGGGGTGGGGTGAGGGGGTGGGGTGGGTGTGCTGGTGGTGAGGAGTATGTTGTGGATGGTTTTTGTCTGTTGGAGGTAGCTGCCTGTGGGGCTTTCGGGGGCGGGCTAGCGCGGGAGAGAGAAGGGGCGAGAGAGAGGAGCCGCAGACGCGCGGCGAGCGTAAGTACAAAGAAACGAGAGAGAGAGACGCGAGGAGATGTTGCTGGCGCATCCGAGAAGGTGGTAAGAAAGGGAGAGGGTGGAAAAGAATGAGGAGCAAACGAAGACGCTGGATGCGCCCACCACACAGCAAGAAAGAATGCAGCGCCAGAAGCTTACCCACAAGGACCACAAACAACAACACCCGCCCAGAAACAACCAAACGGAAGCGAAGATGATAAACAAGGAAGGGCAACGGATGGAGCACAGGGATGATCCGGCGACGGCAAGGTAAGGACGCACAGCGCGCCAGAACGGAACGCGGAGCTCCCTTCACACGGAGCGCGATCCCCTCCGCCCCACCCCACGCCATCAACTCCCCAACGACCCCACCCCCGTCCCGCTCTCCCCCCTCTCACCTTCCCTCCCCCATCCCTTCTCCCTCCTTTCCCTCTCTTTCCCCTCCCTTCTCCACCCATCCCCCATTCCCCTATCTCATTCCTCCATTCCCTCTTTCACCCTACCCTCTCACCCCCTCCCCCATCCTATCCCTCTTTTTCCTTCTTCGCCCTCTACCTCTCCTCCCCTCTCCTCCGTCCCTTCTTATTCCCATCCCCCCTCTCAACCATTTTCCCTCGTTCTTCCCCCTCTCACTCCCTCCCCCATCCTTCTCCCTCCTTCCCTCATTATTACACCTCCCCCTCCCCCCCCTCCCCCTCCCTCTCTCTCATTCCCTTCCTTCCCCTTATCCCTTCCCCTTCTCCCCCTCCCCTCTCACCCTCCCCCCTTCCCCTCTCTCTCTTTCCCTCTTTCCCTCCTTTTCCCTTTCCCACTTCCCCTCCCCCTCTCACCCCTCCCCCCCTACTTCTCTCAATTCCCTCAGTCCCTACTTATCACCTTCCCCTCTCCCCCTCCCCTCTCACCCCTCCCCCACCCGCTCCTCAGTTCTTATTCCCTCCTTATCCCCCTCCCCTCCACTTATCCCCCTCCCCCTCTCCACCCCCCCCCCTCCCCCATCCCTCTCTCTCATTCCCTCCATTCCATCATTATCCCCCTCCCATCTCACAACCCTCCCACGCCTCACCACCCCCTCCCTTCATTCCCATCATTCCCCTCCATATCCCCCTCCCCCCCT